AACATATTCAAACTCTTTGCCCATTTTTTAGTTGGGTTGTTGATTTTTTAAGGTTTTGTTGGGAATGGAGCTGGGATTAGGGTCAGCTGAGCGAGGTACAATTATGCAACTACAGGGGTGTATTCTATCTTTACTTAAATGTTTGATGTTTTGTCCATCACATTTATATTTTTGCATTAATTTTGATTTTTAAAAATATTGCACTAATTGTCTTATTGACAAAATTAATGGCACCCTTTAAAATTTGTACCAGAGACCAGTACACTCGCCTCACTGCAGTCCCAGTCAGATGTTTAAACATCTGGTGGAAAAACAGGCAAGCAGTTTGGAAATGCGCAGTCCCAGCAGGACAGCAGGCCTGGCTGCGGGGTGCCAGCCTGGGGCTTTGGGCGCTAGATATCGAGAACTGGGAACCAGGAACTGTCCAGCGCACGCGTGCCTGTCGCAGCCCTTTTCCCTTACGAGGCTGAGCCCAGCTCTGTCCCGGCCACCCTAGACAGCCTCTGGTGTGGCCGGGTTTCTTGTCCTTTACCGCCCGTTATCACAGGAAACCCCCGACTCAATCAACATTGGGAATGAGGCTCTGAGACTGGAGAGGAAACCGGGGACCTGCAGGGCGCGCGCTGCCTCTCCGCGAAGCCAAGTGGTGTTCCCAACTCGCTTTAACTCGCTTCCTCGCGGTCCAGCCGACTGCCTGGTCCAGGCGTGGTAGTGGAGTGACCAGGCACACGGCAGCCACTGTCCCTTAGGCATGCCATGGCCTAGGGGGCCAGACGCTCGGCGCAGTACAGACGCTCGGCCCGCCACCATCCCCTCTAGCCGCAAGCACTGTCCCTGACGAAGCTGAAGCGCCAGCGAACTCTTGCTGGGAGTTCGGCACCCCTCCCCTGCCAGGCCAGGATCTGTGCCCTTTGTAGGGGGCGCAGTATGCGCAGGACGGGGCGCAGTATGCGCAGGACGGGGCGCAGTATGCGCAGGACGGGGCGCAGTATGCGCAGGACGGGGCGCAGTATGCGCAGGACGGGGCGCGCATGCGCACTGGCAGGCAGCCGAGGCCGGAAGTGAGCGTCAGGAAGCTAGAAGCGTCCCTTGGGCGTGGCTTGGCGCAGCCGTGTCGCAGTTGCCGCATTTGCCGCATTTGCTGCAGGCGCGAGGTTGGGTGCAGGCGGCTGTCTCACTGAGCCTCGAGGCATCGACGGACAGACGGACGGACGGACGGACTGACGATGCCGCGCTCCCACAGGTCTCACTCTACCGCGCGGCGCGCTGCCGCAGCTGCCACCACCACCACCGCTGCCACTGCCACCGCCACAGAGCCCCCGTCTGAGGGCCCTCTGGCTATGACTTTCAAGATTTTTCTCCTTTTTGCAGGACTTACTGTTAAAGTTCCTGTGGGGTTATATTTTACCTGTAAATTACTTCTTTTCCAGACTCTGTTGATGATGTCCCCTGATGACAGCGGCTTTTACGCGACCATTGTCTCAGTGGTCGGGCTGCATGTGGTGCTGGCAATTTTTGTCTTCATAGTGTGGAAGGAGGGCTTGCCCCAGTGGCGGGAAGAGAAAGACGAATAGAGCAGCTTCTTCTAAAGAGCTGCAAACGGGGTGGGGGGTATACCCAAAGGGTTTTTCGTTTTCTTTCTTGTTTGTATTGAACGTGCTTTTTGTTGTTGTTGTTGTTGTTGTTGTTGTTGTTTAAAAGGGAAGGGTGGGTGGGGAGGGAATTAAATATTTACTGCAGCTAAGACTTCAGTAAAATGGGGTGGGGGTAGGGTTGACATTTTCCGACCGCCTGTTACGTGCCAAGTGTTTTTTCATTAAGGACATATTTTTGACTGAGAATCATGTTTGGCTGATGTAAATATTAATGCCAAAATAAACTAGTTAGTAGAATTTATTTCACATTAAAATGTGTCGTGACGTAATTTTTATGGCTTGGCTCAAGCAACAGTTTTCAGAGTGCACGTAAGTTCAATGCATGAAACTTAACTACGTTTTACAGTATTATTTGGTATTATTCTCCATGAAGCTGCCTGAATCGGTCTCCTTTTCCCATTGATTAATTGGTTAATGCTCAGATTTTGGCTCCTAGAATCGCTTTGTGTGTTCCCTGTTCTGGCATCTCATTGCGTCATTTGTTGTATTTTTGGTATATTATTGTACGTGCAAATCGAGGTGAATTTTTTGTTTTAGATTAAGACTGTTAGACTTAAGCTACAACAAGGTGGCGCTGAGGTAAAAAACTGCGATTTAAGATTTTGGTAAATCCTTCTCTGCAGTACCTGTTAAACAGTGACCTCATTCTTGCGCAGATTCAGTATGTGGTTTAAGTTTCACCAACACGCTTTTTTTCCACTGTTATTTTCCATTTGTTTTTAGTAGCATTTTGATAAGGTCTAGGGAATAGGTATGAACTCCCAAAGCAGAAATGTTGGCTTTCTTAGAGTGGAATTTGGAGACACAGAGTGTAAGAATGCAGAAACATCTCTACCTTTTGCTGGAAAGGCTATTATTGTTAGGTTAATATTAGACTAAAAGTTTCATTTTAATTCAGATTCTGCCTTTGTTATTTGTAGATTTTATACTTTAAGAATTTTCTTGTTGGTAATTTTATAAGGATGTACATTTTACTGTAGTTTTGGTTTCATGGTTCATCAACACTTAATACCTGGATTCTAAATCTTATTTTCATCATTGATTTTAGAGTGGGTATAAATATTACAAAATAGACTTAGAATAAGGAAGTGTTTGTTTCTTGAAAGCCAAATAAATTAATCTATAATGACAAAAATGCAAAAGTAGCTTGGATTTATTCCATTTTTGCACATACTGTATTCATGTAAAAGTCTTTCAAAAGATGCATTTCACATGAATGTAGAAATATCCTGAGTGCCTACAGTGTGTTATTTTGAAGATTAGCTAATGTGAGATGATTTAGATGATTTCTCCCTTCAACTCTCACATTTTTCTTTCTTCTTCCCTTAACTCTTCTCTATCATCCTCCAGTCCCCCCACTTCCTCACCTAAAATTGTCCCATTTCCCGAGGGACCTCTTCCTCCTTCAGCTGCCTTTCTCTACGCAGGGACCTCCCCTCAGCTCCAGCCCTTCTCCCTCCATCCCTCACTTCCCACATCTGCTTTTCCTTGTTTTTTAAAGACTATCCAAATGGATAGATTGTATTACATCTAACTTCAATAGAACTCATTGATTATCTTGTCATCCCCCCCACCCCCAGCCAATCTTTTGTCCTAAGTAGCTCTGCTGAAGAAATATGCTTGGCAAAAAATGCAAATGAAAATGTTTAATCTTCTGTGTCATATTTAGCCTCATTGATGCTACTCATAGAGATGTGGATGTGCTGTTACTGCTTTCTAACTCTGCCTACTACGTGGCCTAGTAAGTTGCTTATTGATTTAAAGCATTTGATTTTGTTTTAACTTGAGTAAATTTTTTTTAGAATTCATTTAAAAATGTGAGAATATGGTTTTGTTACATATTTTATGAAACGTCATTGAACCCCTTTACCTTATATAACTTACGTTATTCTAACTTCCTTTAATCTCTATCAGTTTGAAAACATGATTTTACAGTTAGATTAATATGTAAATGTTATATTGTATACTTTTGGCATTTGATATTATTTCATATATATCTCCCAGATTTTGATATGCTCCATAAATTTTTAGCACTATTGCCCACATATCATCGTTTCTATTAGTGTAGTAAAGTTTTTCCCCATTGTTAGGTATTAAATTACTTCCAATTTTTTTGTTAATATGAATGACGCAGTTGTCTTTATGCAGTAACATGTCTGTGCGTGCATGCGCACTTCTTTGGTTACAAGGGTATGATGAATTAAGACTTTTGTGGTTTGTTGTCAGACTGATCTCCAGAAAGACTATCAATTAACAGTGCTAGTAGCAAAACACAAGTACTTGTTTCCTCTTATGTTACTGGAATTGTTTTATTTTTACTAAGTAAATATTCACCTTACTTTTGGTTTTGTGTAAACTGTTATTTTTTAGTCGTTTGCTCAGATGCCCATTGGCATATATCATATGAATCTTTCATTCTGGATTTTGGATATCAGATGTAACAGCTGTATTGGCTGTATTGTTCCCAAATACATAGTCTGTTTCTCTCCTCTTTCTCCCTCCCCCCTCTCTCTGTTTGTTTTCATTTTATGAGTTTTTCTAAAACTGAAATTATTTTAACCTTGTAGTTGTTTTTTTTAACTGTTAGATCTGTTATTTTCCCTCTGTGGTTGAACTATATATGTTATTCTACTTTAATTTTTAAAATAGTTCTTACATTTTAATGTTTTACCCCAGAATGTATGTGCTGCAGAAGATTTTGTCTTAACTGTATGTAATAGTTTGCAGCTATTATGCCTTCCTTGACAAGCCAAATATGCTTTTCATTTTAATCCTGTTTTTACTTCATTTCCCTTTATCTAGTTATGATGATGAAGTTGATAAAGTAAACCAGTATCAACGACTAAGTCTAGAAGACCTGGAAAAAATCGAAATAGGTAAGTTTTAACATACTAATCAAGTCATAAAAAGCAAATGCTGTTGTTTTCAAGAGGGGGGTCAAATTATTTAAGCAAGTACATGGTTTAAGTTTCACCTACAAATGCTTTTTTTTCACTATTATTTTCCATTTGTTATTAATAGCATTTTGATAAGGTCTAGGGAATAGGTATGAAATTCTAAGACAGAAGTGTCAGCTCTCCTTACAGTGGAATTTGGAGACCAGAATAACGTCTGTTAGAAACCAGAAAAGGGATATTCCAAGCTGTCTACCTCTTAGAACGTCCTTTCTAGTCTTTATAGGTTATTGATGGATATAGTCTAATTATAATAACTATTCCTTTTATTATTTACCTTATGAAGATTACCCCAGGGATCAAAGTTAAATGATTGAGATTGAAAGAGTTCTTCTAGCCTTATCAAACCAATGGTCACCAGAAGTTTGTATTTTGTGTGCTGTCATTTATATTACGAAGATAAATGTATTGGTCTTTTGAAGATAATAGAAGAAAATGCATGTTTTGTGAAAGATTTAATTTTATACATATTCATTTGGGTTTTTAGGTCCTGAGCCAACTCTTTTTGGTAAGCCCAAGTTTTCCTGCATGCGACTCCACTACAGATACAAAGAAGCAAGTGGCTATTTCCACACCCTGCGAGCTGTAGTGCGCAATCCTGAAGAGGATGGAAAAGGTAAAAAGAGGAAGAGATGAAAGTATTCAGTGAAAACTCTGTATTTACTCTTAAAAGCCCAAATGGAATTGAGAACATTTCATATCGTAACCAACTGAATGAGAGCAGATCTAGGGAATAGCTTTGGAATATGAGGCCTTGAAATAGCAACTCTGTTTCCATTATTTGACTGTATTATTTAGTTTGGGACAAGGAACTCTACAGTGGGGATTCTCAGTGAGTTTGGCCCCATTACTGATCACATGGGTGCCAAGGCTTTTCACACATCATGTCCCTTTCATTTGTGGCAGGCAGGGACCATGCCTGTCTGGTTCATAGCTGTTCTCAGCATCTGGCATGGTGCTAGAACATGAGTTAGAACAGACTTTTAGTTCCTCAGTTTCATTCTTTTGCTTTTGTTCTTTTCTCTTAAAATGTTAAAACATTGTGAATTAGTGGGGAGAGTAGTGAACAGATAGCAGTTCACTAAATCAAAACAAATAGATTTGTATTTAATCATATGACCACAAATTTCAGTCAGTGCTATGAGTTAGAATTGCTGTTTTTTTTTAGTATGTTTATGGAGAAATGGCAAGCAGTTATATTTGGGTTGCAGATACTCTTCAGTGCATTGCAGAGATGCTGCAGATCACCAAGCAAGCCATGGGATCAGAGGTACCCATAATTGAGAAGAAACTTGAGAGGTGAGTATACTGCTTCTCTCAAGAATAAAGGCATTATTATCCAAAGTCTTATTTCTTTAAAAGTATTTGCAGGGGGAAAGAAGTAAGGGGGAAAATGGTAAGGTGTTGGTATTTAGAGAGGTAAGGATCACATTTCTGCAGATCAAAATTTTTAAATTCTCCATGTATACAATTTTCAGATAAGTTTTAGACTTACAGAAGAGTTGCACAGGTAATTCAGAGGGTTTCCATATACCCTTAATTCGTCTTCCTTTACAGCTTACATAACCATAGACCATTTATCAAAACTAAGAAACTGACTGTGGCACAGTAAGATGAAATAACCAAAGTACAGAACTTACAAGGATTTTACTAGGTGTTCACTGACATCCTTTTTCTGTTCCAGGATCTAATCTGGGATTCCACATTGCATTTAGCTGTCTCTATAGTTTAATGTTATTTCCTCAATTTTGTTTTTTCTTTCATAACTTTGACATTTTTTAAGTTACTGGTCAGCTGTTTTGTAGAACATCCCTGAATCTAGGTTTGTCCAGTGTTTTTTCCTGATTAAGCTGAGGTTACACATTGTCAGGAAGGACACACAGAAGTGATGGGCACTTCTCAGTGTATCATGCCTTGGGGAGGGGAGGACATGATGTCCCTATGCGGTATTGTTGATGTTCACCTTGATTACTCGGCTAGAGTAGTGTCTGCCAGGGTTCTGCACTGCAAACTTTGTGTCTTCCTCTTTATAATTGCTAAATATTTGGGGGAAATCCTTTGAGACTGTGTAAATA